TTGTGAGATAGCTAGTTATAATGGTAATTAAATAATAAAAATAATTTTAAAAAAGCCCACATTAAAAATCTGTCAAATAAATTGGTCTCTTCATTAGAAATTAGCCTACTGATTGCCACCATTGATGGACAAAATTTTTAAATAATATTAAAAATATCTGTATGACATTATATTCTGCAGTTCTTCCCTGTTGTACCAAATATCTACACTTTTCAAATGATCATATCGAAGTTAGAAATTCAAATATTGTGACAAAATTAATTTTGTAGGGTGCCACAAGTTTGTTAAAATTTCCAAAGGGTGCCGCGACTAAAAAAAGGTTGGGAAACACTGATCTAAAGAACCTTTTTCCACTATAAAGAATCTTCATCCAATGAAAAGGTTCCATGGATTTTAAAGGTTCTTCATGGAACCATCAATGCCAATAAAGAACCTTTATTTTTAAGAGTGTAGATTACGTCCACTATATCTTTTTGTACTTTAATGCACGAAAGTTTTGGTTGCATGGACTTTCAATGCGTGGACAAAAAAGACAGGATTCTCATTTTTGGGTGAACTAGCCTAACCCTTTAACTAACTTAACCAGATCAATTCCCATGGTTAGCCAGCCTTACTTGAAATGTCCTTTTTGCTGGATAACAGCATTGATCAGCACCAAACCAGCTGTAACCACCTTAAACTAGCCTGGTCCAACATGGAAATTCTTGCTGGTCTAAGCGTTTTTTTTTATTAGTAAGGCAGACAAGAAGAAAGCTCTTTAAATATGTTTAATGCGTATATTGTTAGCTCTTTCAAGAAATGATAGCTTGTAACAGCCTGTAAAATGGCTCATATGACAGCAAGCCTTCCTCATCAATGAACGCCCATATGATACATGGACAACTCTGGCGGGGGAAACGCATATAGCCTGGAATTCAATCAACAACATGCTTAAATGTGTCATACAAAGAATTATGTAATGCACTTACGCTGTGAGAAATGCTATAAACATCCAGCTATAAACTTGTCATTTTATTGAACAGGTTACATTTAAATTGAACAATTTGTGCCTGCACTCATAAATAAATTGGTGACGTATTCAGTATGCTGTTTTCTCTAGATTGCACTCCAGATATCACCTTGTTTCTTAGTTGCTTCATGGCTTAATTGTTCAGATAACCGTTAGAAATAGGTCACCTTGATTGTAACTGACCTCCTAAAATGGAAGAAAACACACACAAACTTATTGCTCTCATTATAGTTTTCAGACACAGACTTTCAAAAGCCGTAAGCCTAATCATGAAGATCATGTGACCGTTTTAGCCAAGCTAACATTGAAAATGGTCAACATGCGACCAAAACGTTTGCCTTGTTTTTACTCAGTAAATTGCTTATATTGCTTTCATCTCGCTTGTTGACTCTTTGATGTTTGAGTGTGCGGACTTTTTTCAAGCTCTTCACCTTTGGGAAACTTTTTTTGGTCAACGCACCTCAGTTGGATTATTTTGAAGGCGCGGTGAGTCTCTGGCTGCTTCTCTTAAATAAAAATATGAAAGAAATATATTGCATTATGAAAGTAAATGAGTTGCACACACAGTTTCATGTTGAATTCAGCATCCAAGTCTTCTCCATATAATGTGCCAGACATTTCAATGTCAGTCTTGTCCAAACAGGTACTTTTGGAGTCTCTCTTTAATGTGTGGGAGCTCATGCATGTTTATTCATGTTTTTGAAATCTTGATGATGTCTCAGATGGCTATAATCAGTCCATTGGTTCCATTTCAAAACATCTTTTTATTGAGTGTGTGTGTATGTGTGTGTGTAAAATGCAGAGAGAGAAAGAAAGACACACTAGACCTAGCACCAGGTGTGAATGCCTCTTTGGCTTATAGACAACCACACACTCGCCCATCCCTCCATCTAGCACATGTATGAAGATAAACACACACATCATGTAATGTTGGTTGTTTTTGATTCTATCTATCTATCTATCTATCTATCTATTAGGGGTGGAACGATACATGTATTCGTACCGAACCGTCACGGTACGGACATCTCGGTTCAGTGCATGAGGCCTTACAACGAATACAGGCAATTCACCCCCAATCCAGAAGGGGGCACCCGCAGCAATGCAATGCTGTTTGATAACCGGCCGCCAGCAGAAGAACAGCGAATGCCATGAGTTG